TGCTTTTGCTCTCTGGAATTCAGTGAATTTCAGGTGTTTATTCTCATAAGCTCCTGTTGTGCAAATACTATATACCATGATACATGACAGCGTTAGATGGAACATGGATTTTTCCATGTATTTAGATGCCTAATTTCTGCTGATTTTAATGTGAGCTTCAGTGTCTAAACAGAAATTGCAGGGGCCTCTAGCCCAGCTGATGGAAGCACTTAGGCCATTTTCTCACTGGGGAACACAATTGCAGGTAAGAAGTGAAGAAAAGCAACTGCTCTGAAGGAGGAAAAGACAAAGAGACCACTGATTAGATGAAAATGCACTAGGACCACTCCTCTTTAGCTCCCTTTGTGGCTGTGAGATATATCTTTGGAAGAAGAAACAGAAAAGGTGTTGGAAGCTAAAGCTGTTAAATTATCATATTAAAAAAAAAGAAGGAAATCCCTTTCATTTGACAGCAGTGAGGCAGAAGAGGAAGACATGGTGATACCAGGCTTCTTACTGCAAAGTTATGAAAAAAAGACTTGGCCAGTAAAGCCCCAAGTAACACAAGAGTGTTGCTGGGACGGACACACAAGCATACTTTTACAAAAAGGAAAATAAGGTTAATATATGTTGCCATTCTGGAGTTTTTGTTTTCTTTTACATATTTTTAAATCCCCATCCAGATGTTGGATAGGAAAGACCTGCATTTTCCTCAGACTGCAGCAGGATCCAGGAAGAAGAGATGCCACCTAAGACCTGAGAGCAAAGACAGTGGCCCCACCGCTCTACACTTTTCTACAGCTCGCCTGCCCACTCTCCTTACAACAGTTTCTCCACTTCAAAAACTCTTAAGTCTCTCCCTTTCACACCAAAGAAAACAGTGTGCCAGCAGGCGTAGTTGAAAGTGAATAGAAGATTTTAATTGGTATCTGTAAGAATAAGAAGGTTTTAGGAGCAAGTGTGGGTGTCACAATTCCAGCCTGAAGTCTAATCCGGGAGCAGGAGCCCCAGTGTTGCGTAACGACGGAAATAAACGGGCAGAGAGACCTACTGTTACTTAAATGTGGACAAGTTGGACCAGCTGTGTAACAGTCAGTCCTTCTACAGTAATAAATGTTGACAGCAAAAATAAAAAGAATGCATTACTGAGACATCATCAAATGAGCCCTGTCACTACATGGAAACTCCACCCTGTATAAGCTTGTCAAAAAGTGTTACTGTAATCCTTTGAGAAGCCTCCTCCTCAGGCAATGGAGAAAAAATGCTCAGCTCTGGCCCAGAACAGGTGTGTTGTGCTGTAATGCCAGGATTTAATCACGTATCTCTTTACATTAATCTCACAAAGGAATTAGCTTGGATCAATCTGGGCCCATCATGCCACACTGAGGCGATTATTTAACTACTCAGTTAAGAGAAAGAAAGCTAGCAGGGTGTTTAAAAATGGACATTCCAGGGCGTGCAATATTTTACAATTATTATTTGTTGTCTTAAGTCCAGCACTAGGCACTGACACTTAAGAGGAACTGAAACTACACGCTCTTTTCAAAATCAGTCTCTGAAAAATCCAAGTTCACACCTTGATCAACAGTGGCAGAGGCCAGTCGTCCCTGCTCTGAGATACACACTTTTGTTTCCAGGACAAACTCCTTAGCAGCGTTTATTTCCTCTTTGGAAAAATCCCCAAGCCCACTGCCTGAACAGTAGTTGAGGTCTCAACATTTGCAGCATGGGCCAGAGAAGCCAGCACAGTTAGAAAAGGAAAATACATTCATTAGATGTATGAAATAATTAGTGCAGCCCCAGAGTAATCCTGAATAAACAGCATGAAGCTGGACTTCAGATCCCAGATCTGACCACAGTGGTGGGACTGCATCCTGGCCAACTGGCCTTGCTGCTGTTGATGCCACTGAACCCACCACTTCATTATCCATTGGCCACTTCTTACCAGAAGCACCACATGAACACATCATCACTACACTGCTGGCCAGATGTTATTATTTGTGGCTTGTTACTATGGCAATTTAAGTAGCAAACTTACAAAAACAGACAGCATGACAGCTAGACCACAGACCTACAATGGCATGTCAACAGTGTGTTCCCAAAGGAGGTTTCCAAAATGTCATCTGGTCAATGCAACTGACAGCAACAGGCCCAGTGGTTAAGGATTGAACCCAAAGCCTTAGAGGGGCACAGAAAAGAAGGGCATGGCAGATTAATCTCCCTTTAAGAAAGTTTGGTAGAGAAAACGGGTGCCTAAATTATGCACCACTAAACTTCAAGACAGGTATGCTGGATTATAATGAGTATGCACATGCATCTCAGTGTTCTCAAGGTATTTCTTTGGAGAGTACCCAAGAGAAAGCTTAATCAAACACAATATAGAAATCTAAAAATTCAACCCTCTTGCTGGTTAAATGATGGTATTTTAGCACTTGACATTATAGAAATATGCCCCAAATTTGCCTGAGCAACATTTTACGAGGCTACAGCAGCACACATTGCTAACACCTGGATGTAAAAGCAGAGGGTTTAGCTACCCACACTGTTACCACGAGCTAATGAAGTGACTTGCTTGGCTCAAGAGCAGCAGGTGGATGAGGCTGCTCTGAGCACCCTGCCCACCCCACTAGCCCCCGAGCAGAGCTGGGAACTGGCTGCAAAGTGATGCCTGAACAACTATAGCCAGGCCCTGCAAAACACCTCGACCAGGAGGAGCCGTGGCAATAGTCATCCTGCCCCAAAATAACCATCAGAGGGCACTGCAAAACATGCTGTGCTGGAGAGAATTATGCCAGTGCTGTTGGAAGCTTCATATGCACACAAGTTAAAAATCCAAAGTGGAGAAGTTCAGCTGCATCAACTGACTCATTAACGACTTCATGCTGTTATTTACAAGTGTTTCCAGCTCTCTTTCTCTGTCACACACACTTGTGTTTACAGCAAAGCTATAGAGATGACTTCTCTTTTTAAAACACAAAAGAATTTCCTGCTTATCTTCTTGTGGTTTTATGATGTCTTATTGTTGCTATTAAGAAAACAGTAACAGAAACCGGACTCTGTATCCTGCTTGCTATTGTAATATTTGGGAAAAAAAAACCTGCACCAACTGCAATAAGATCTTAAGAAAGAAAAGGTGTTGATGTTTGAACACTTGAAGTTGTCAAGTACAAGACTTACAAGAAAGATACATGTTATGTAGCAAACCACAGAAAGGCAATATTTGTTTTTAGGGCTAAATCCCTCTATTGAGCACGGACTGCTTGTCAAATACTCCCTTCTCTGGAATAATAATTTCATAAACCAAGGTTATTTTTTAATTTTAAACTTCCTGCTTCAAAAGAAAAGCATCCGAGATCACCTTTTCTGTGTGCTGGTAACAAGTGGAGTTAAAGTGTAAGTAAATATCCTATTTGTGTATAGAACCCACAGTATCTAGAAACCTGCCCCCAAAGTTTATGAAATTTTCCATTAGTTTTCTGAATGTCAAAGTGTGTTAAAAAAAAAACACTCCTGTTGGGGAAGAAATGTCACTGGTGTTCTCAGGGACAGAACAACAAAAGGAAATGTAGGAAAAGACCACAAGAAGACCTAGACAAAGGTAGATTTTAGAGGAATGTAAAAAATTAAGTTTCCATTCTCCCTTCCTAGGCAGAGCTCTTGGAGTAAGAAGTCAGGAGACACCCATATCACCACCATGGAGACGTGCTACTGTCACTTTCCTTGGCCATCCAGAGAAGGACTGAACAGCAGTTCAGGACACAAGTCAAATCCTGGTTCTGTGCAGTTGCAAACCCACCCGGTGTTATCCTCTTAGTCTGTCACCATCTCACTGCCCACACCTTCTTCTCTTCTAAAGGATGTCCCCTGCTCTGAACAACTGTTCTGGTCTCCTGTTCCTCCCTCTATTCCAATCCTATCACTCCTACTTCTAGTTCCTTCTCCTGCTCCTCATTTGCTCTTACCTCTCTGCCTTTATATCCTTTTCTTCCCATCTGCTTTCTTCCTTTCTATTAGCTTTTATAGTTTTCAGTTCTGTACCTTTTTTGGAACATCATCTGTGATGTGAATTTTACCTTCTTAATAAAGCATTAAAAAAACCCATACCTGACATATTCCTGTTAAAATGCAATAAAAAATTCAATTATATTGTGCCTTGGACTTCTGTGGCAATCCTCATATTAAAATTTGTGTTCAGTATTAACAAAATTGAAGTAAATTTCTTTACCATTTAATTACAGGTAGCATAAATAAGAAATAAATGAACTACAGATATTGTGTGGATACCATCCCTTCATTTTATTATAACCATAATCAGGAAATCTCATACTAATGAGATCCAAGATTTAAAGATTGTGTTTAGTGAATTATTGTCAATCAATGTCTACACAACAGGATAAAAATAATCTTGAATGGCAAAACACCTATTATTATAAATTCTTAAGTGCTTCATTACTTAAAAATGTCACTCTCAATTTATAGAGTAACAGATAAACATCTTTCAACTGTTTACCTCACTGTGTCTACTTTTGTGTAATTGAAACACTGTTTTTGAAAAGTCTTGTCATCACCTAGAGATTCTGCATTGTTCTGAATTCAGCAGTGGTGTAGTTCTGGTTGAGGTTGCTTTTCAATCCCCTTTGAAACATACATTTAAGATATATCAATCTATTTTTGTTTTCTGCCTGTGACTTAGAGCTGGTCATTGGGAAAAAATCTGATTCTCATTTCCTTGCACAAGTATATTAAGCTCTATAATAGCACTGTAAATGCAAACAGTTACTCACCAGGAATACTCAGGAAAAGGAAACAAACTGGAAATGACAAGACCAATAAGAAAGAGGCTTTCTGAGAGACCCAAATAAATACACAAAGCAGACTTAAGGTTTTCAGTTTCTCATGGTGGAAGAGACACTAAAACACATCATACCCCACTTCATTGGCAAAAGAAATACCTGGTTAATTTTGCATCCCCAGTGATTTGTAGAAGCAAGTAGGTATCTGCAGTAACTTTCAATGCTCACCTCATCCTTTATGTCTTCCTGCTGCTGGGCACTGAAGATCTCCATTGCAGCCATCAGCCTCATCATTAGCTCATCCACTGTTGTGTTACCTAGCAACACAGGAAGATAGCTGATATAATTTAAGTTATTAAACAAAAAAAAGAAGTCATTTTAAAATTAATCCATAAAAATAGTGAGACTTAAAAAAAGAAAAAAAAAAGACAGAAAATGCAACTATCTCAGCAGAATGCTTTTAGTTTGCTTTTTTATTGAAAATTCAAAATTGCTTTGACAAATGCTAATGATAGGCTAAAATTTTAGGTGGTTCAAATCTAAACAATTGGTTTTGTGCTTGCATGGAATAACTATTTTTTTTCCTTTCCATCACTGATGTTAAAGGAAAGTACCATATCTGGGGTTCCCTGACATGAAATGGATTTCACAGTTTTAGAATTCCCAAGTATTATCAAGGAAACTGAAGCAATTGCTTAGTTAGGCAACGAAAGGTGGGGTGTTGGCAGCAGCATCCAAGTGGATTGGTTTAAGAACATGGAAAAAAAAAGAATACAGCGATTGAATGGATGTGTGTGCATGCATTTTTATTCAGGTATAACTAGTAATAAAACTTTAAATATTATAATATATTCTCTCCAGTGTATTTACTTCTGATAAGACCTGTAAAGCTAATACTAGTGGAAAAGTAAGTCAGCTGTATAGATCAAGAAACACAGCATATGCACAGGAAAACAGATACCTCCTCAGTTTTCTACCAGCATGTCTCCAGTCTTCATTAAGGCTGAAAGTTTACTTTAATTTGCTACCAAGATGTTCTTAGTCTTTGTTTTCTTAAACTGAAAACTGTACCACCCATTAGAGCCACTTGTCATAGTAGCTACAACCTCTTAAGACCACGATAAATGGTCTCAAACTAAACTCTTAACATCTGCCAACCTAAACAGTCATAGGACATTCACAGAACAATACCAAGAGCTACATTTATAGTGGTGATGCTAGTCAAAATTCTAAAAGAAGTAAACCAACCAGAAGCTGCAGTTCCACTAAAGAAAACAGAACTGTCCCCATAGTTTCCAACCTCAGGAAAAGATAAAAAACTAAAGTGAACTTAGGCTGCATTTCAATAAATGCCACTGGGACTTAAGTTTCTATATTGTTGTATCTCTTCTGTAAACATGCCTTCTCACCCAGCCCTGAAAAGCCCCCATTGTTCCCTTTTCTAGCATTTGCTACCTTAGCAGAAAATGTTATCCCACATGCTGCAACACGCATGACTTCAGAGACTACCATTCACTTGAGGGTGTATTGTTAGGAGACACCAGTGTCCCAATTCATGGGAAAATAACAAGCAGAGCATGCTTGGGTTTTGTTAAAAGATCATTTCAGTAAGGCTGCAAGCCTTACTGCAAAGCTGCAAGCCAAGACTGGTTGGTCTTAGTTTGGTTCAAAACATTTTTTTGCAGAAAACCTGAAAAATCAGTAAAACTTAATGAATGCAATGAAATAATTTGGATTTTTTTATAAGCTAAAGCTGCATTATGTCATGACTTCGAGTCACTAAGCTGCTAAAACAGTTAGGTAATTTAAGCCAGGAAGCACCACTGACTCCAGTGGGATAACACAGGTGCTTGAAGTTATACACACATGCTGAACTATGCTGCAGAGTTATAAAAACAAGAAAATCTATTTATTAGGTTATTTGTATGCAATGTTTTCTAAATGACAGAAGTACCATGAATTGGTGTGCTGTACCTGGCACTAAGGAGACAAAATCCATGCAAAATTCAGAATTTCGGCTATAACAAGGAGCACTGCAGATCCCTCAAGGAAATGACCAACCCCATATGCATAAAGCAACAGCAATTATGTCTGCAAAAGGCAGTGTTTCCTGAGGCTGAATTTCCTCAAGAAAATCAGGAGATTAGAAAAAAGATAGATATAAGCAATAAATAAATGAGGAGAGCATGTCATGGAGAAACTCCTGGAGAAAGCAGAAGAAATGAAAGGCAGCCATTCTTTGATGTATTTTAATTTGAAGAGTTCCTGAGAACAGCAAAGGGCATTACTCCATATCTAAGTCATCTTGCTGCCAGTGAACTCAGAGGGATGGTTATGCCAGAAAGAACTGCTCGTGTAAGCCAGAAAGCTTCATTTATGTGGGGTTGTACTAGTAACTTAATATTCAGATCTGATTTGGGGTCTCAGCTCTGCAGGCAGGTGGGAAAAAGCAACTCATGCTCAACTATTAGCCCACTACATGCAACAGGAGATCACTCATTAACAAGGAATTACACAGGGAGAACTAAATGTATTCTGGCCCTACACAAAAAGTGCAGCCAAAATATTTTGGAAATCAGTAATTTATATGGATATACATTTGGAAAACTAAGTGTAGCTCCTTTTTTAGGAGACTGGCCTTCTACTTTGAAAAAAACCTGAAAACTTAAACTATGATTCTACTACAGTCATGTCAACTTCAGTCTCTAATACTATGTTAGTTAACACATTTATGAATAGTGGGTATTTATCTGAAAGTTTATTTTGTGAAATCAACTCTGAACAGCTTAAAAAAGAAATGGTTAGCAAAGATGTCATCTAGCAGTTTCCATACTAACATAAGAACTACTTTTCATATCAAGCAGGCACTGTACCTTGTATTACATTCAATACTTCATTTGATGATCGTTTTCCCATAATAATAAGGAAAAGTGGGAACTGGTCTGTCTTCTGAGTTCGGATTGTTTGGGCTACAACACTCCCGAAGTGTCTAGTGCACATCGTCAGAAACCTGTGTGAGGAAGAAAAAGCAGAGGTGCTTTTGAAGTTAAGTTTCAAAGAAAAAGTGCTAAATTCAGCAGTTTAATTGAGAGTTATCTACTGTTTAACATCTAGGCTTCTAGATTCAATTCCAGAGCTCTTTCTCCCTTTTTATGATGAAGTCATGAGGCTATTTACAAATATAATAAATGCCAGATTTTCTATATGAAAACAATTAGTAACTGATTGAGACAGTGATTTATTTGATGGAGAATTCCATCTCCTGATATATTATTCTGCAAGCTATAATTCAAAATTAATCCCCCCAAATTATCATGCTAAATCAATTGTTAAAAACTTCTTCAGAGAAACTTTGCAGAGTCATAATCTTGTAAACATGACAAAATATAAAAATAACACAATTTCCTAAGAAAGCATAATGAAAGATGAAGAAATTGTTGTTCTCAGTCATGGAATTAAAACGTGGTACTTCAGAATTGTATTTTCTTTTGTGCTAGTGCCCTGCCAGTGACATACTTAGCAGTGTGGTCTAAAAACAATAATTCTAAGCTTTTGACCAAAAAAAGCTCTTGGATATTAGCATACAGAAGTCTAGCATTAGTATTCTTAACACGATCTTGAATAAATGAAAAAACTGATAAAGCTTTTCTCTTCCATTAGAGGACTGTTTGAAATTAGCATTTCTTTCAAGAGAAAAGGGTAGCTTATGATATGTTTTCAGATCTGATGGTAAAAAGTAAATGTCATAATAATAATGAATTATGAAAGACCAAATGCAAATACAGAATGCTTTAATAAGATCCAATTTAATAAAGTCTGTAAAAATAATGGACTTTTAATAACACAGGTCACAAAAGGCAAAACAGTGGAAATTCTGAGGACTAGCCACTGGTACAGGCTTATTAATTCTTAATTATGTTCATGAAAGGCAACTTAAATCGTGTGTTTTCTTATGCCTTATGATAATATTTTAGGTAACAACTACTCTGAAATGTATGCTCTAACTGAAGAGCAAAGTCCTGTTGTCACATGCATTAGAAGCCAAATCTATTTGAAAAGACAAACTGCATTAGAATGTCAAGAGCTCCAAGTAATGTCTTCTCAAAGATTCTGAAAAGATTGAAAACTGCAAATTTTTTAATCAATCTACATGGTATCTAGTAAAATGGCTAAAAATTTATAAGCCTGATGAGTACAACACTCAGCCTGTTCAAGGCACCTGAAGTATAAAAAAAAGCCTCCATGGAGACACTGTAATATTAACTGTGGCCCTAACTGGACAGAAGACATTGAGCAGGGGGAGCCAGTGAGTATTTTGAAGCCATAAATGTTACAAACACCCTTCCTTGCCTCCTTGATTCTCTGTCTTTTGCAATTGAGAACTGTCACACAGAAAGATAATGTCAAAATGCCAAATAGGAACTGCTACATCAGAAATAGCTACATGGAGACACACCAGCTAGTAAAGATAAAATAGAGTCCATAGAAGTCTGGGCATGCAAACTCTTAGGCTAAATAATGTAGGGTTTTTTATTTTTGCATTTTATGGTTGGAATAGGTAAGTGAAATCTTGGCCTGACAAAAGCCAGTGGTGATGTTTCATGGCAAAATGACTAATATGTGTTCAAGGTTTCACTCCTGAAAGTAATAAAGATAGGGGTCAAGGGAACTGAATTCCTGAAACTTCTGTATTAGAACTGGTTAATAGTCCTCAACATGCCATGGCAGAAAAGCACTCAAGTTTCATGTGAAAACAAAATATTTAACTGGAGGTGAAAAAGTGCTGTAGAGAAGAATACTGCTAGAAGGAATGAAACTAAGAGACTATTACACTACTAGTTGCACCAGACAAAGGTGCTGATTTGTGGTTTGTCAGGGTCTTTAAGGATCAGTTCTGTATTTAGTCAACCCATAACTCAATCTCAAAATATGCCTTTATAGGTATGGAATTTGTATCCAGAGAATTCTGGTTGAACTATTTCAGTACATTAAAAGCCCTTCTAAATTACTTTTTTTCCAGGAGATTAATTTTTATACATGGAACTTCTGGCTGACTACATAGAAGCTGGCAGGCCATGATACCTTGGGGTATAACATAAATGCACACAAGAAACTTCTCACTAATAGGACCCATCAAAATAGATCCTGCCCTTTGGACCCAAGAGAGAACTAAAATGTAGGCTGAAAAAATGTGAAGGCAGTCAAATGATGCAGCAGTGAATAACAAGGCAGCAGCAGCAAATTCCAGCAGCTCTCTCCACTGTGTAACTCCTGCTCAGCAGCCACTTCTCAGTCACACGGGTGCTCTTTGCCAGGTCAGTGGTGAGTGCTCAGTAATTACTTCTTCATTTTACTAGATGGGTAGGAACTGAATTTTCATTCAGGATCCCCATTCAGTTTCTCTCATGCCTTTTAGTGGATTTTGCAACTACTTCACTAATTTTGCATATTTTTTTTTTCCTTTCCTGCCTCTACTGATTTTGTATTTGCAGACCTTTTTACTTACTTCCACATTCATATCCAGAAAAAGAACCCCCACAAAACCCTGTGCTAATATTTACTGTCAGAAATATGTGAGCAGGACTGAAACCATTTGGTTCACTAACTACTGCCTTACTCTGCACATCACTAACAAGGGATTTTCTTACTTTCATCTGAACAGAAGTGTGCCAGATCTTTCAGTGGCATCTCCTGAGCTGCCAAGAGAGCTGCCTGTGGTGTGCATCAAAGAGCCAGATGTCCCTCCAGGGAGAACTGTTTTCCACAACATGCTGGATTACTGTGATCTCCAACCAAAAGTGGAAATAGAGGAATGCTGCCAGAAAGGGAGGGCAAATGGCACCCTACAAGTCCTTTTATTTGTAAATCACAAAAATTTTCAAGGAGGGAGAAGTATGAGAAAGCCAAAAAAAAAGAAAAAAAGAAAAAAGAAAAAAAGCATTTCAGGAAGGAAAAATCCATTAAAAATATCTCAAAAGTTACAAGAATAAAGTTCAAGAAAAGTAATAATTTTGGCAGACAGCACAATTTCTTTACTTCTTCCATGACTCCCTAGCAATGAAACCAGTAGTTATTTAAAGCTACAGAATAAACATGGACACCAACCATGGCTTGACAAACATAGAAACAAGCCCTAAAACACTACAAAATTATTTTGTTTTTTGAAGCTTGACAAATACAGAAACAAACCCTAAAAAACCTACAAAATTATCTTAATTTTTTAAAAAATGTAGATCAAGCAGGTATTAATTTGCAGACACATTTCACTCCAACATACAGGAAAAATGATTCTGGTGAAATGAAGATATTAATTTGGGGGGTTACTGAGGACTGCACAGCAGTTACACCTCCACATGCACTCTGAGATAACCTGGGAGAAGAGTTATCATATTTGCAGCACATTTGCCTCCTAGAGAAGAATGTTATCATTGTTTACCAGCCAATACTTGACATGCTACACTAAAATACACTCCTGGCATAACTTCTTTTGGCAACTTTATAATCAAATGCAATTTGTGTAACATTATTTTAAAAAGCTCCCAGAGGGCAATTATGAAAAAAAATAACAGCTTTAATAACCTACTGGAAAAAGTTTAGCATATTACTGAATCTCAAAACCACAGGGAATACTTGTTACAACTGAAGTCTGTGGTCTACCACAGCTCCTGACCTCAGATCAGCTCTGCAGAACTTTGTATATGCTGGGGTTTAGCAATAATAAGTTTTTTGTGAGAACACACAGCTTTTAATTTTTAACAAAATTGGCCATCTCTGCCCAAAGTGCTGATCATCAGAAGTGTTGATCTCAGAGCTCAGTATTTTTAAACCCCTGAAGTTTTTTTGATCTAGATGATACCTATTGACACCATGAAATACATCTTGCCTTTTTCAGGGGGGCAAAAGCCCCAAGGAGAAAGCCAACTCCTAGGTGGGAGATGGTAGCTGTTCCCAACAGGAGAGTCTTTCATCATTTGAATGACTGGTATTATTATCCCATTGTTTCTTTATGTATTTCCTGCTCGTGCATGATCTTGTTTCACACTCTGGTTATTCATATGGACAGATCTATTGCAGCCAAGTTTGGATCCATGATAACAAAAGATCCTTCCTTGCCACACCATGAACAAACAAACAAACAAGTTACGGTGCTAAATACTTTAGGAAAAGGTAGCTATTCCTTTAATATTTCAATGTAAACTTTTTTGTAAGCTAAGAGCATCTCTAGTGCTCAGTCCCTAAAGGGGCCACAAGGCTGAGGCATTTGTTTGCTCCCAAACTGTCATGTTATACCTTTCCAATGTGAACTGGCTCAAAGTGATTCCTGCACTTACCTAGCAGAGGAAGAATTTACAAAGAATTGAAGAGGAATTAAAGGAAGAGCTGGGCAAAGAATTGATTCTGAGCCACAAGAATCCTCTGCACTTCCATTAAAATCTCAGTGCATTCCAAGGCCAACCCTACTTTAAGGAAGTTTAAAACTTCAGGAATGGCCATGAAAAATCTGTAAGTTCTTTCTTGAGCGTGACCAAAAAAATTGTTAATATTAAATATGCAAGATACTTGATTATTTTAAATAATAATTGTATACTGTGCAAAGTCAACATAAGGTTCATTAACATGTTAATGTAAAAATAACATTTTTGTATTAGGTGTTTACATTTTTAAAAAAGCAAAAGCTGAGGTAAAGAAATGGTATATTTAAAAAGTTTTCTATCTATAGTCTCCATAATACAGAGTTATTGTTTTACCCACATTGGTAGAGTCATAACTGTTGGCTCAAACACAAGGGGAATGAGCAACAGATATAATACATGGTCTAAAGATGTATAAAGCAGCCTGAATCACCTTCAGTACGCACACAACAAATACTTAGGGATTCAGATGTAAAACTGTGATTTTATCCACTTTTTCTGTATGCAAGAGTAAAGCCTAGATGAGTGGGTTACCTATTTCTGCATAAAACATGGAATATCTAATTTTATTCTGCAAGGTTAAAACAGATAAGGTAAA